TTCAAACGGGCCGGATCCGGCCCGCGGGCCGTAGTTTGCCCACGGCTGGTCTAGCCTCATTATATTGACTTGGACAATGTCCCTGAAGTGTTTTTATGACTTCAGCTGTAAAAAGTTCTTAATGGAATACCCTACAAACCTTAAAAATGATAATGTAGATATATGTTTATTGACAAAATTTTTCATGAGCTATTTAGCGAAAAGGCAGTTTACAAAACTATATATGTAAAGTAATTTAATCTTTGTGTAAAAACTATGTATCTACACAGCATGAGAAGTTGTCTGGAAACATATGCACCTTAAGGGGCATCCTCGGGTTTAATCTACTTGCCGAATCTGTTGACCAAAGCTTCCAGGTGCGGCTGTGGCTCTAGACATGCTTCTGATAAGGACAGGTTTGGGTAACACTTACTTCCATGCTTCACTTAGCTAATAAAAAGGGAAAGTACATCTACACAAAAACGATATGCTGTTATAGGTGTTTTTTTCCCATTGAACATTTGAAAAATTCAGAATGTAAATCACTGGTATTTTTAAAGCAATTGAACATTTAAAAATTTCAGAATGTGTATCACTTGTATTTTTAAAGCAATTATTTAGGAAAAAGCTTTTTAAAAAAATTTTCACCCAAGGATATGTTCTATTGGTTTTTCTTTAGAGAGAGAGGAAGGGGGAAGGGAGAGAGAGAGAGAAACATTGATGTGAGAGAGAAACATTGATTGGTTGCCTCCTGTACACAGCCTGACCAGGTATGTGCCCTTACTGGGAATCAAACCACGACCTTTTTTTGAAAATGGGGCAACACTCCAACCAACTGAACAACCCAACCTGAGCTAGAAAAAAGCTTATTAATAGTCCTTTAGTAATTCATTTATTTAATCTTTCATGGAGGGAAATATATATATAGAGTAGTTATGCTTTATTGGGATATACTTAATGCTGAAGATCAGAACGATTTGGAAAAGAAATAAACAAAAGTCCTAGCTAACCTAAAATGTCCAAGACACTAGCAGGGTTTGAGTATAGTAGGGATCTTTCATAAATGGGAGCTTTCCCGTATGAGGTTAAAAATCCACAAAACAAAAGTTAAATGGGCTTAAAAATAATAAAAAAAAAATACTTAGAAAATTCGAGAAAGCTAATAACCTTAAAAGATTCTTCGATGGTCTCTGAGAGATTCCCCCCACAGACTTATTTTGTTATTATTGACCTCCTGCACCCTCCCCCCAAAGAACTCAGCCTATAAATATCTCTCTTATCCTTTTAAAAAAAGAACAAGCTATAAAAACTCTCCAGAACATTTGATTTTTCTTCATCCACTGTCCCATCTCTTCTGCTTTCATTGAAGCTTCTCAAAGGCCTGGTCTACACTCACGGTCTTCCAATGTGTACCCACTTGTCTGTCCAGAAAATGCTTCCCCAAGATGAATAAACTAATTGCCCAGGGGCTTTAAAATTCTCACCATTTTTAACCTCTTGATATTCTGCATAACGTTTGGTAACCCCCATGCTTGCACTATTCATGGTGACCTATCAAAATTTTTCTTACTCTTATTTCTCTAGGATAAAGTTGAATCTGAAAAATAAGCTGAGTCTCCCATCCACCCTGCAGTCACATGTCCTGCTCCCCCAAAACGTATTTCATGGTTTAGCATTACAGCTCCCTGGCTAGTGCTTGATGTCTCTGTGCCTGGTCACATTGCATTATTTCCTGTGCCTAAATTCTCTCCACCGTTAACCTGATCTTCATCATCCTTCAAGTGCCTCAGTTTTCACCTCCTCCTTCCTTGTTCTGTGGCCTATTTCAGGCATGTGTGATGACCGTGTCATTCCGTGTAGGTTGTGGCTGTCCTAAGGGCAGAGTTTGGGCTTTCCTCACACACTTCTTTAGTGCTCCACACAGTGTTTGGCAGAGATACAAAGTGTTTGGCACAAATGCACAGTCTGTTTCCTGTTTGTTGAACAGAACTAAGTAAGACTTTAAGCTCTGTGAGGACATTTGTGTTTATAAATGTGTTAATCTACTAGAGGCCCAGTGCACTGATTCGTGCACCAGTGGAGTCCGTCGGCCTGGCCTGCGGGGATGGGGCCAAAACCGGCTCTCCAACATCCCCTGAGAGGTCCTGGATTGCGAAAGGGTGCAGGCCAGGCTGAGGGACCCTAGTATGCATATGAGATCTTTGGTTAATCTCTTGAGTATAGTAGGGATCTTCAGTTGCACCCTCCTCCCACAGATTCATCAGTCTGTTCCATGTTTCCATGCCTGTGGTTTCCACTCCTGCATTGAGCGTTTGCCCCCTGGTTTTTAGTGCGCGTCATAGCTACCAGTCGGCCAGTTGAATTGTCAGCCAGTCACTTAGGCTTTTATATATGTAGATGAATAGGAAAATAATTGATAAGGTGCCCAAGAGAGATAGCAAAATTAACAAATTTTATTTGCTCTCCATTTTTATTAAACAAGTGGTAAAGAGATTTTTATTCTTAGACTGTCTTATAAAAGAAATAGACATTTAAGTGGAGAAAAATGACCAGAATGAAATGTCACCTGACCAAAGGAGCCTAAAGGTGAAATTGTAGAATCTTCATCCAAAATGTTTAACCTAAGTTTTGTTTTCAAATAATTGGAAACAAAATACGGGCAGGTGGTTTTTAGAGTGTAGTGTGTTCTGCCCTTCTCTGATGAATAGATGAGATGGGTTAGTTGTGTATAAGTGGCTTCATGTCAAGTGACTGTCAATAGTTTTAAACTACTTGAGAATGTTTCCCTCTTCTCCACTATGTTTATGCTATGAAAACTCTTCCTGGAGATGTAGCCTTCTCCCTAAACTAATGCATAATTTGAATTACTGCAGTTTATTTTTTAGAACTGTTTCCTGTCCCAGTAGCCTGGATCCTGCTGCAGGAAGCTCCACTCCTCCTGGTTAGTCCCCAGGAAGAGGTGGCAGGAAGGCCTGACCTCCCAGAGCCCCTTAGGCTTATTTATGACTGTGTCACCTCTGCCTCCTGGAGACAGTTGGGTAATTTGGATGAAATATTTGGCTAACATTGATTAACACATTTAACTTGTCTAGTGAAGGAAGTGACTGCAGGCCTGAGGGTATTCTGTCCACCCTCCACACACTGCACAATGGAGCTTTTGCTTCATGCTGGACATGGCCTATTTACTATTTTCAGTTGCATTGAGTTTCATACTAATTTTGACCTAGTCCTTTGGGGACATAAAGTGCAAATTGTTTGATAGCATTCGAGGGTACTTAGGTGACTAGGTGTTCTGTTGTGATGTTAATCTACTAGAGGCCCAGTGCATGGATTTGTGCACCAGTGGGGTCCCTCGGCCTGGCCTGTGGGGATCAGGCTGAAACTGGCAGTCCAACATTCCCCAAGGGATCCCGGATTGCAAGAGGGTGCAGGCCAGGCAGAGGGACCTCACTGGTGCACGATCGGGGCCGGGGAGTGATCGCAGGAGGGCTCCAGGGCGTGTCCAGCCTGTCTCGCCCAGTCCCGATTGGCTGGACCCCAGCAGCAAGCTAACCTACCCTACCGGTTGGAGCGTCTGCCTCCTGGTGGTCAGTGCATGTCATAGCGACTGGTCGAACAGTCAAACAAACGGTCGTACAGTTAGCATATTAGGCTTTTGTTATATAGGATTTGGCAAAAGTACCCTGAGCAACTTACCCACCAACATGCTCTTAGTCCTTTACAAGAGCATAGTGTAGTCAGGATTGGAGGCACAAAGGAGCTGACATTTTCACAGATGCACTCTACAACTTGATAATGGAACCAAGCGACATCACCCAAGACTCCCGGCTGCCTGACTGAGCACCAATTTAGAACACTTTTACGAATGTGTCAGCACCATGCCAGCTGTAGTGCTAGTCAGGTGTAATTTGACACCTGTTTTTTCCCTCAGAAAGACATAGATTACCCTCCCACCCCCAAAAAAACTTTTTCAAAGGCTTCACTTAAAGATCTTTTTACCATCCTGTATTCCTCAGTTTTCATTCTGCTTGTTTTCCACTAATGTTCCTCCTCAAACTGCCTCAACAGATTTTGAGTAGATTTATGTTTACTGATTCATTTTGCAGTCTTAACTTTCTAATTCAAAGCTCGTGTATTAATGTGTACACTATCTACATTCCTGGAAAGCTTTTTCAATAGAGTCTCCTGGAAAATGGTCAGTGAAGGCACCTGGCACTGCTTTTAAGTCTTTAGGGGGGAAATGAAGGAAAACCCCAGACTGTCTGGAAGAGTTGTTCAGCCTGGGGCCATGAGGAACCACCTTTCTATGTTCCCGGATTACTTGCTGATGAGGACTTACTTTGACTTGAATATGTGTTTAATATTACCATTCCTCAGTTTGTCTCCATTTAAATCGTGTATAAGATTATTGCTCCTGAATTGCATAGATTTGAATTTAAGTGGTCCTGAAGCTTCCAGTTAAAAGATGCTATTTAATCTCAGGTGACTATTATGCTGACACTGACAGTTCAGCACCCTCCCCACACACTCTTTAATCTTTTTGAACTGCCAATTGCATGGAAGATAGCAGTGTAACTTCTTTGACTTGTTGTTAAACATTTCTAAAGTTTTTCTTGGCATTTGCTTGAGACAGGTCTTTGATAAGAGCTATGGTGCTGCAGCTAATGACATAGCCCCTGCTCCATATTGTCCATTGCTTGTGGTGATAAATTTACAATGAAAAAAAGAACTTTTCAACTTGAATATTCCTGAAGGCCTAGATGAATGCATGTTTTGACACAATCAGGGCTGGGATAGAGGACACTGCAGGCACTTATCACAACGTGGATAGAACGAAAACAGACTGTATCCTTAAGCTCACAATGAGGATCCTGACAGAGGGCAGCCCTATAGTCTCAAGGGGACTTGTGATATTATGAAATGTACTCCATAGTCTCAACTGGTAAATTGTACAGATACAACTTTGGTTCAGTAAGTGGACAAGTGTTTGTACTGGCACAAGAACAGACACATAGATCAAGGAACAGAATAGAGAGCCCAGAAATAAACCCACACCTAAATGGTCAATCTACAACAAAGGAGGCAAGAATATATATTGTTGTAAAGACAGTCTATTCAATAAATGGTGTTGGGAAAACTGGGCAGATAAATGCAAAACAATGGGACTAGATCACTTCTTACACCATAAACAAAAATAAACTAAAAATCAATTAGAGACTTAAATGTAAAACCTGAAACTATTAAACTCCTAGAAGAAAATTTAGTCAGCAAACTCTTTGATATTGACCTTAGCACGATTTTGGGGGGCTATATCTTGGGCAAAGGCAACAGAAGCAAAAATAACTTGGGCAAAAAGCATACTCTGGCTCTGTTTTTGAGGAAGGGAAAGGGGGAGAGAGAAAAACATCAATGATGAGAGAGAATTATTGATCGGCTGCCTCCTGCATGCCCCCTACTGGGGATCGAGCCTGCAACCCTGACCTGGAATCAAATTGTGACCTCCTGGTTCATAGGACAACTCTCAACCACTGAGCCACACCGGCCCGGCTCTGGCTCTTTTAAGGATGATTTCTAGAAGTGGTCATAGAATAATTTGTTTCTATCTCATCAACTAGAACTTAATCATATTCTCATTCCTAAATACAAGTAGCTATGTACACAGTTAAACGTTAGTTTACTATGGAAGAAGAGGAGAAAAATATCAGAGGATTCGTTCACACTCTTTAGTCTGATATTTAGTCTTTAACTTTCTGTTTAGTCCTTTTTCTTATCACTTACCACATGAACCCTATGCATCAGCCAAAAGCTTTCTTGTTCCCCTGGGTTGAAAATGATGGCCTCTTCCTCGAAATCATGTAGAACTTTTCATCTGCATTGTGAGGCTCATGTGCTGAACTGTTTTGCTGTCTCGTCTACATGTGGTCTTCCTAAGTCATAAGGTCTCACCACAGTATGAATTCTTGGGAGCAGTGACCGTGTCTTAGATATCTGCAATGCCTAGCCTAGTGCCTTATAAATAATTAGTTCTTAATAAATAGTTCTTATATTAGAAAGATAAATAATCTTGATGACTTCTTGGTTTCTTGTAGAATTTTAGGAAAGGAAGATGGATCAACCTAGTGGAAGGAGTTTTATGCAAGTATTATGTGAAAAATATAGTCCTGAAAACTTTCCTTACCGCCGTGGTCCAGGGATGGGAGTCCATGTCCCAGTTACACCTCAGGGCTCTCCTATGAAAGGTAAGAAAGATAGGATCTAAAACATTTATTTGCTGGACTTACTTAGGACATTAAATCAGAATATTGCCTTTTTGCAAATTTCTTTATTTTGAATTATGAGTCAGTCTTTCTCCCTTGCTATGATTTCATTTTTTGAAAAAAATGAAAGGACTTGTTTTGCTCCTGATTGGTCAAAAGTCATTTAGTTGGACTCATGGGGCAAGAACAATATTTGAGTGATATCATTTCAAATACATATTCTTTCACGAACTTGGGGGGTGCAAGAGACTGCAAAACTACTTTGTCCTCAACAGCCGAACAGCCTAATTGGATTACAAGACACTCACATTTACGAAACTATAATATGAGGTAGTTTATGTTGAGCCCAATGAATGACACAGTGATTGGGGAAGAAGTTTGAAAGAGAGTTAATATCAGAAAAGAGTTCAAAGCTGTGAGACTTGAACTAACCCCTCAAGAATGTAGAATTTTGTTAGAGAGGAGATAAAGACATTCTAGAAGAGGGATTATGATGTGAGCAAAGATCTACAACTAGAAGTGTGCATGCTGTTTTAGCTTAATGTTGTAATGAACAGTTCATAAGATTAGTTCTTTGTAATTATTTAAGATTATTATTGAACAGTGTTTTGGTTCCTATATCCAAAGGTTCCTGAGCGTTTATTATTTCTCATTGCAACGATCTTATCACTCCATATCAACTGGAATGACAGAAGGAAGTGGACTTCTTACTTGGTCATTTTTTTTCAGGCTCCATTCTCTTTCTGAAAAACTTGATACTGATAAGTACTAAGTTGAAAAATCATGCAATGTGAGGCCTCCATTACTAAATATTACCTTTGTGAGTCCTTGTTTTATACCACATAGGGAAAGAGTGATTGAATTCTCACGTTTATCCTTTTTATTAGAGACTGGAGGCCCGATGCAGGAAAATCGTGCAAGAGTAGGCCTTCCTTCCCCTGGCTGCCAGCACTGGCTTCCCTCTGGCACCTGGAACCCGAGCTTCCCTCTGGCTGCTGGCAGGCACCTGGGACCTGGGCTTCCCTCACAGAGGGAGGCCCTGCCTGCCCTCCACAGCCCGCTGGTCGGTGGCCTGGGCCTCCCTCTTTGGGGTGATCATGGAGCCCCCCAATTGATTGCCCCACCAGCCGAAGGCCTGGACCTCCCTCTGCGGGGCGATCAGGAGGCAATGGCTGGGCCCCTGACCAATCACATCGCACCCGCCTTGGCTGGCCTGGCACCAGTGGGTGTCTTAGCGTGGTCCCGGATAGTCGTCCGGATGGTCATTCTGCTGTTCAGCCGTTCGGTCGATTTGCATATTATGTTTTATTATATAGGATAGTAAGTGATTTTATTGATACATGTAGATGAACAGAAGTAGGTTAGCAGAGACTATCTTCAATGGTTTGAGGTTATTTTAAAAGGCAGCAAAAGGTGAAACTATATACCAGATACTTTTGAACTTTTTTCCATTTTAAAATGGAAAGAACTAAGGCCAATAAGAAGACACTGGTAGTCAGACATGAGTCACGGGAACCTGGTCTTCAGGTGACGAGATGATGGCCTGTGTGATGGATAACAGGCCTCGGGAGGTGAAGCCTCCGGGACTTTCATCTCCTCCTGGTTCGTTTTGAAACAAACCATTGCCTACTTCATATTTGGTGTCTCCACTTAGAATTCAGAACCCTTGGATCCCATCGTAGCCTTTTGATTTTGATTCCTGGGGGCTGTGTGTGTGCAGACAAGAACGAGGCTGACGTAGCAAGTGTTCTGTCTCCCGTGATCCAGATCGCCTCAACCTCCCGAGCGTCCTGGTGCTGAACAGCTGTGGGATCACCTGTGCAGGGGAGGAAACCGAAATCGCTGCCTTTTGTGCTCATGTGTCAGAGCTGGATCTTTCTGACAACAAACTCGAAGACTGGCATGAGGTAAAGCTCTCCTGTCGCTGCCTTTGGGAAATGCAGCAGTGATCATTGTAATGCTTATGGCATCAAGTATTCTGCTGAACTCGTTCTCACTGGAGATTCTTGTTGTCTGTATGTCTCAAGATACATAACTGGCTGTTTCAGCTGTTCTTATGGTAATTTTTCAATTAACTTGATTATGATTATTAGTTTTTACTAATGTGCACTGAGGAACTTTATTCCAGGCATCCAAAGGTTAATAAGTTGAGAGAAGTTTAGACTGCTAGCAATGCATTAAATTTTCTACTCTCTCACTGGTTTACACATCCTATATGTATTCTCTACTACTACTTTAACATTTATTACTATAAATTGACATAAAAGTTATTTAGGGTTGGAAGTAATATTCTTGTTACTGAAATTTATTCCAAATATTTTAGAACTTTTTCTTACTTTATTAAGTGTCTTTGGTGGTTTGACATAACAGATGTCTTTTGATCTCAGAGTAACTCTAAACCAACTACACAAATAAAAGTATTATAGCACTCTCTCTTACTATACACTAGAGGCCTGATGCACGAAATTCGTGCAAGGGGCTCGGCCCTTGCAGCCCTTGCTGCCCTGCGGCCCCACAGCCCCGCCCACTGGTCTTTCCAGAAGGTTGTTCCTCTGTCTGGTCTAATTAGCATATTAGCTCTTTATTACATAGGATATCATTGCCTTTCTGATTATAACATTACCTAGTAGAAGCTACCCTTTAGAATAAGGGAAAAATAGTTTTTCCTGCTTTATTTGTTCTTAATTGGGCTCTTATTTCTTGCTTGGAAAAGCTTGCTAATGGGTTTTCCTGCCTCAGTTTTGTTCTGCTTCCTCTAACCCAGTGGTTCTCAACCTTGGCTGCACATTAGAATCACCTGGGAATCTTTTTAAAATCCTGATTTCTGGGCCTCATCCTCCGGAAATTCTGTTTCTTTGTTATGGGGTGGGGCCACAACATTAGTAACAAAGAAACAGAATTTCCGGAGGATGAGGCCCAGAAATCAGGATTTTAAAAAGATTCCCAGGTGATTCTAATGTGCAGCCAAGGTTGAGAACCACTGCAACCTGTCTTCCATGTGAGTAAGTGAAGTAGGGCGGTGCCCCTCTCCTGTTGGAGGTCCTGCCCGGAAACGGAAGTCTGAGCTCTCTGAGTGTGGCCCTCCCTCAGGTGGCCCTGTGCTATTTCTAGAGCTTCATCTTCATCTTTAACCACATGCTTCTTCTTACAGCTCGTGAGAAGCTCTTACATGAAAAGCTTCCTTGCTTTCAGTTCCTTCTCAATCTACTGCCCTCTTCCTATGTCTCAGCAAGATGGGCCCGATTGCCACCCCTCTGAGGAGCTTCCCCCAGGCAGCCGCTGACCCCTGTGCCTGGGTCCTGCTGCCCTGAAAGGGTTTCTCACAACGTCCTGCAACCATGGGCTCCCTTGGCATTTTCCTGCTAGATGACCGTCTGCCAAGTGGAGGTTTTTGTCTTTTTTATCATCAGCATCCAGTCTACTAGGCACTCAAATGTTTGTTGACTTCGTTAATGAGGAAATGATTGTCTCTTAAGGATTAATGAAGACCACTGCTCCAACTTTTCTTGTGAACTTAAGAAAAGTTCCTTCATTTTTAATGCTTCAGTTTGCTCATTTTAAAGACAGGGCTGCTGATGAAATTCATCACTGAAGCATTTTATAGATGCTAAACGCTATACAAATTCTAAGACAGCTTTGTATTGTTCAGTTTTCTTCCACTTTTCGTTTATTTTCTTATTTATTTCATAGTCTTTTTAATCCGGTGACTGTGCTCCCAGTTATATTTCCTGTTTCTATTGAGATGTTCACCTGAATTCTTTGAGAGGCACGTCACTTGATTTCTAAGTGACTTGCTAATATACGCGGACTTAATCCCTATTTGTACATGTATTTATTGATTGATACATTGATCTAAACAGTGTGGTTCACTGTTTAACCGATTACAGTCTGTGCCTCTTTTGTCCTTTGAGGTGCTTAATTGACATGCATGCTCTGTCCACACGGCACACATGCAAAAGGAACTCCTTGGTACCCTCCTCCACGATGCCCACAGTGTCCTCCTGCTGACCGCAGGGCCTTTTTTGACCTGCGTGGGTGACAAGTCAGACCAAATCTCCCTCTGAATCATTTCCGCTCCTGTGTCCGAAGGCTGCTTCTCCTAAATGTGGTTCCTTGGGAGGCTAGAGTTTACTAAGGTGTGTGCTTCGTGCCTGACCTGTGCTTCTGCTACCTGGTGGGAACAGTTGAGAGTGATGACATTGCTACCTCAGGAGAGCAATTTATGTCCGCGTGGGTCAGAACACAATTTGCACTAAGTACTTCAGCCTTTTTTCTACCTAGACAGAGAGCTGCACTACTTTCACACCGCAATGATGTGTATGGCCAGAGGGTCGTGTGTTTATCTGTACTCTGTTGAGTTTGTATATCCTATAGGTATGCAAGTAAATATTTGCTGCTACTACCCTTCTGGTGTCTATTTTCCAGTTAATTTTTGTTTTCATTTTGCTTTATATTTGTCTTTAACCTTAAACATAATTGATCTCAGTCTTCTAGACCATAAATCAGAACACAGAGAGATGGGAGAAATACTGACAGCAAAAGAATATTGATTTGGAGGATTGATTAAACTCTGCTAGGCTACAAAAGTATAGGTCACAGTTTTAAGACATTACATTTCAACCCCATTGCAGCCCATATACCTGATTGCCAAAAAGATCGTTTGTTTCTGTCCATTAACTAAGTTTATTCAGGCAGTATTTGAAATAGCAAAGTGGAACAAAATACTGTAATATCATTTGCTCTTTTCGTGTTTTGAATGATCACTAATGCTATGAGTAACTTCTTATATAGTTTAAACTACTGGCTGCTATATATCCAGACTAAGATCAATGTGACTGAGAAGTGTAATACTTTGGGGGAAGCAAAGATTTGTCAGTAACCTTCAAAAGTCGGGCATCTTTGTGTTAAAACAAGATGCATTTTTTAGCTTTTGACTTGAATTTTTGTCTAACTAGATTTTACTCTGACCTTTCCCAAGGTGTCTTCTGTTTCTTCCCTTTCTTATCAAAACCATTTTATAAAAGAGTTGAGAGGAAGGAAGTATTAGCTACTCAGGGGAGTTAGAGAATAGCTTGGGTAGAAGTTACAGATTGATGTCTTATAATGTCCCATTTTTTCTAAAACTGTAATTTCTTTCTTTTTAGAGGCCAGAGTAGAGGGCCCCTCTTAAATTATAGAATTGTGGTGACTTAAAGGAGATATGAGTTCAGCTCCATGTTTCTACACATGAGTCTGCTCAGCTCACTCCAACTGGAAGCGGTTTCTGTTTGTTGGTTGGTTGGTTTTTAGAATTTAAAAAAGAGAAGTCAATGGACTGCCCTAGAAACTGATTGAATGCTTGTCCATCTTTGCTATTAGGACATTTTTCTGCCATAAGTAAGTTTACCTGTCTGTGTAAGGTGTTATATTTTTCAGAATCTTACTATTAATTTATGGTTACCCTAAAATACTTTCTAATTTCAGCTTTGTAAATAAAATATTTATTTTTAACATGTATTTTTTTCTGCTTTAATTATTAGACTATAGTCTAACATTATCTTTCTGGGATATTCCAGGGCTAGTAAGTCATTATTCTAATCTTTATTCTCATTGGACAGTAGGGTAGATGCAGACTCGGAAAAGATTACATCAGTATCTGTTTGCTTTGGGAATTCTCCCAGAAATTGCTTCAAAAATCCTTAAATTATCAAATTTTGAGTATTTTCCTTTTTAAAAAAATATATATGTTTATTGATTTCAGAGAGAAAGGGAGAGGGAAAAAGAGATAGAAACATCAATGATGATAGAGAATCTTTGATTGGCTCCCTCCTGTACGTCCCCTACTGGGGATCCAACTTACAACCCAGGCATGTGCCCTTCATCGGAATTGAACGGACCCTTCAGTCCGCAGGCTGATGCTCTATCCACTGAGCCAAACCAGCTAGGGCTTGAGTATTTTCCTTTTTATTACAAAAATAGAATATGACGGGTGCTGGTTAATAAAGGGTTTATGTTTTCTTTTATTTAACTGAGACTGCTATAATTAGCAGTTAGCCTTCATGCTGTAATTGTAGCAGAATTATTTTTCATCCTTTTTTGCCCTTAAAAGAGATACACATAGATCAGTGGTTCTCAACCTTGGCTGTACATTAGAATCACCTGGGAATCTTTTTAAAATCCTGATTTCTGGGCCTCATCCTCCGGAAATTCTGTTTCTTTGTTACTAATGTTGTGGCCCCACCCCATAACAAAGAAACAGAATTTCCAGAGGATGAGGCCCAGAAATCAGGATTTTAAAAAGATTCCCAGGTGATTCTAATGTGCAGCCAAGGTTGAGAACCACTGACCTAGATGATCATCCTCTTACGTAGGAAAGTCCTCCCTGGCATTAGTGTCCAGGTGGGAGAATGCATAGAAGATTGCTCCCAGTGTGGACTCCTTAGCTGTGTCGTGGCCACAGACTAAACTCCAGATTCCAGCCATATATCACACAAATGCTGTTCAAGCAGAGGATATGTAGAGACAAGTATAAATTCCTTATTTTTTAAACTGAAGCCTAGTGTATTTTCTCTAAAAGATAGCCAGTTTCTTCATTTGAAAGTGGGGCTAAATATGGTATCACTTCGAAGGGTTAGTGAGGAGAGCGGGAAAGAGTGCATGTGAGGGCCGCCCCTGCCAGCTCCTCTGAGCCCCTCAGAGGTGGTCTCCTCGCTGAGGTGACAGCTCCTGAGCTGTGCAGTGCAGTGCAGTGCAGTGCAGCCGGTGTGAAGGCAGGTGCTTTTTATTCCCACCACAGCTCCCTCACCTGTGGAGCTCTGCAACCCTGAATCTTGTCCTACCCATGCAGCTTCTGATTCAGTGGTGGAGGGTGGATGCTGGGAGTCAGTATATTTATTTTGAAATTCTACCAATGATTTTAAATAAGACATTTAAATAAAATGAATATGACATGACATATTGGTTCATACTAAACTTATATTAGTAGTAATTACATTTATTGTATGATTTTGTGCCATTAACTAATGCAATAAACATTAAGTGCCCCCAGTACAGTCGTGAATGAAGAAGTAAGTGCTGTCTCCGCTTTCCTAGAGCTTACGTTCTCCTGGGCAAGGAAACCAGCTTCTAAAAGGAGTGCCATGCACTGGGTGAAGTGCTTGGCACACATGCCTCATTTAGTTCTACCAGCAATCCTGTGAAACAGATGGGTGCTAGTTTCTGTATGTTCCGAATAAGGAAACTGAACTTGGGAAAGTTTAAGACACAACTAGGAAGTGTTGGGACCTGGTCTGACTCCAAAACCAGTGCTACCTACCAGTATTCTGCTAACTCCTTTTCTCATAACTTCATTTACCACATTGCCTGGCTCTGATGTTTAAACATTTACTGAACTTCTAGCATTTTATATTACTTTAAGCCTAGTTCTCATTTTTTTCTGGTTATATTTGTAATTTACTAGTTGTGGTACATGTAATATAAATTCCAAGTTATCTATGTGATATAAATTCCAAGGCCCCCAAAGAATGCCTGAAACCACTGGTTAGTACCAAACCCTATATATACTATGATGTTTTATCTGTACATATATTTTATGGCTTCTCCTTGGCACATCCAAATTGCCAGCATCCCTGCTCTTGTGCCTTGCCTTATTATTAAGTGAAAGAAGGATTACTTGAACAACAGTTGATCTGATAACCAAGATGGCGACTAAGTGACTAATGAGTTGGTGGGGCAGGTGGTGTATGCAGGGTGGGCACCTGGACAAAGGGGTGATTTCTGTCCTGGGGGCGAAGAGGCAGACAGAGCGAGATGTAATCATGCTACTCGCAGTGGCACCTGATTTAAAACTTGTGACTTGTTTATTTCTGGAATTTTCCATTTAATACTTTCATACCATGATTGCCTGTGGGTAACTGAAACTGTGGAAAGCAAAACTGCAGATGCGGGTGCCTGTATATTGGGAAGAACCATGGGCTGACTTGAGATTTGCTTTTCTGATTTTTAACTTCAGATTTGGCTTTTGTGACTCTGAGACCTGACTTAACACAAGATGTTAATAATTAACTTCTCTAAGGCTCATTTTCTTAATTTTTTAAAATGGAAGTAGTATTAGTCATCTTGCAAGTTGTTGGGGGCATGTGGTGAAAGAAGCTACGTAGAGTCTAGTGCTACGCAGAGCCAGTAGCTAAGGTCAGTAATGCCCAGGTCCTTTTTAAGATTTTTGTGTCTACCAGTTTACTAGTTAAATTATTAAATTTATGATCATGTTTTCTCTCTTATTATATAGTTCTTGGTGCTTTTTTATATTTTTAGTCAATATATTTTAAAGTTTAGTACCTCTCTGACCCAAGCTGAACCTGTTTTCTAAGTGATTGTGGCTATGTAGTCAGTTTTGAACACCTGAATTGTTACTTTGTGGTCTTTAATAAAGTAATTTTTATATATCTTTATTGTTGAAAGTATCACAGATATCCCCTACCCCTGTTGACCTCCTCCCGCCTGGCCTTGCCCTCCCTCCCACCCCCGCCCTTCACTACACTATTGTCTGTGTTCATGGGTTATGCATATATGTACACAAATTCTTTGGTTAATCTCTCCCCACCACCTACCCCCTCACACTAAGATTCGTCTGTCTGCTCCATGCTTCTGTGACTCTGGATCTACTTTGTTCATCAGTTTATTTTGTTCATTAGATTCCACATCTGAGTGAGATCATGTGATACTTGTCTTTCTCTGGCTGGCTTATTTCACTTAGCCTTAATGTTGTAATGAGGATGGAAGAAGAAAGGAGATATTCAAAGAGGATTACAAAGAGGACCCAAACTGAGCTCTTTAATAACTTGTAGTCTAAAATGTCATCTAAACTGTCTTTTCTCCATTTATCAAATAGAATATCATATAGAACAGAATAAAAACCTTGCCAAAGGCAACATTTTTGTTTGTACCATTACTTTTCTGTTCTGACACTGTTTCATAGAAGGAGATTGTTATTTGCCAAGATTTGTTGAAATTATTTATGCCACTCTGGGTACTGTCACCAAATAGAATTCCCCAATGTGAATGATCCTTTGCCTGGAGACCCACTCACTTAGGCCTGTCTGAACATGATTGCTATTTAGAAACTCTGATTATTGCCTGATATGCTATTTTTTTTCTTCCTAGGTCAGTAAAATTGTGTCAAATGTTCCCCAGTTGGAGTTTCTAAACCTGAGTTCCAACCCTCTGAATTTGTCAGTTTTAGAAAGAACATGTGCTGGGTCCTTCTCTGGGGTTCGCAAACTTGTCCTCAATAACAGCAAAGCCTCCTGGGAGACAGTGCACACGATCCTGCAGGAGCTGCCAGAGTAAGCTGGAGTGCATGCTGGGGGGGCGAGGGGGAGGCGGGGGGGCTGGTCGTCACCTGCCCGTGCATGAAATCCCTGCTACCTGCCACTCAGAAACACTAGGCCTGCAGAGACAATGGAGAACGGTTACCGAAATGGAGTGGTTACAATGAGGGCGTGAATGTAACTCAGGAGCGTTTTTACTGGAATGCTTGTTCAGTGTTGAGTAACATAGGATATGCCATTCTTTGGTTAGAAAATAGCCCTGAGAATAGCACTTATCATTTCTAGATCAGTCCAACCTTTCTCCATTTTAATCTTCTGATTACCTGGTTTCAGAATTTTGCCTCAACCTTTTCTTTAGGAGGAAAAAAGTAATCACAGTATCTCTAAAATATATTAACACTCAGATGATTGTACATAGCTGGACTCATTGGAAATAAACCTGGTATTCTTTTCAATAATTTATGCAAGAAATTATACTCTTGTCATTTTAGAGATGCTTTGTTACATTTGTTTGTATCTATAAGTATGCATAAATGTTCAAAGGAAGTAGTTTAAAGAAATATATGAAGCTGTAGATTTTTTACTGTGTAAATATGAAAATTATCAAAGCTTTTCAGAATTTGGTCTCACCCCACTTATTCCACTTCAGTTTCCCACCATCACTCTAATGAGATTGGTTTCCTTATGCCTGCAGCATCTAGTATGGCACAGAATGAGTTTTAAACCCAGTTCCATTTCTCACCATACTAGAGGGCCCGGTGCACAAATTTGTGCACTGGTGGAGTCCCTCACCCTGGCCTGCACCCTCTCGCAATCCAGGACCTCTCAGGGGATGTCAGAGAGCTGGTTTTGGCCCGAATCCATGTACTGGGCCTCTAGTATGCATATAAGATCTTTGGTTAATCTCTTCCTGCACTCCCCCCTCCTCCCTTCCCTCTGAGATTCATCAGTCTGTTCCATGTTTCCATGCCTGTGCATTGAGCATCTGCCCCCTGGTGGTCAGTATGCATCACAGCTATCAGTCAAAGGGTCGGACACTTAGCATATTAGGCTTTTATATATATACTAGAGGC